CTCAAACTTCTTCTGTTTACCTGATTCATCCTTCTGGGCAACTGACCTCATAATCTTGAAAAATGGTAGGCACTTATCTGCCGACTTCGATATAAACTGATGAAGAGCTGCTACCCTTCCAGTCAACCTCTGTATGTCCTTTACTAACTTCGACGGTTCCATCTCGGCAATTGCTTTGATCTTCTCTGGGTTGACCTCAATCCCTCTCCGGGAAACCATAAAACCCAAGAATTTTCCAGATTCCACACCAAAGATGCATTTGGCTGGGTTTAACCTCATTCTATTCTGCCTGAGATTGTTGAATGTCTCCTCAAGATCGGTTAAGTGATCGTCAGCTTTCAAACTCTTCACTACTATATCGTCAACATAAACTTCCAAATTCCATCCTATTTGAGCTCGGAACACGATGGTAACCATCTTTTGGTAAGTGGCGCCTACATATTTCAAGCCGAAGGGCATCATTACATAGCAATAGATCTCATCACCAGCATAGAATGAGGTTTTTTCTTCATCCTCAGGAGCCATTGAGACCTGGTGGTAGCCTGAGTATGCATCCAAGAGACTTAATCTCTCATTCCCCGAAGCTGCCCCAACCAGCTTATCAATGTTTGGCATTGGATAACAGTCCTTTGGACATGCATCGTTGAGGTTAGTGTAATCAATGCACATTCGCCATTTACCGTTTGCTTTTTTCACCAGCACCGGATTGGCGACCCACTCGCAGTAATCGACCCTTTTGACAAAACCAGCTTGTAGGAGTTTCTCAATTTCTTCTTTAATGACCTGTAACCTCTCCCCCCCGAAGAGGCGTCGTTTCTGGGCTACTGGTTTCTTGAGGGGATTGGTGCTGAGTTTATGTTGAAAAACTGAAGTGGGAATTCTCGGCATGTCTGCTGAAGTCCATGCAAAAACATCTTTATTGGCCCGAAGAAAAGCTATGAGCTCTGCTCTTTCCTCTGGGTTCAATTTAGTCCCAATTTGCGTTTTCCGGCTCGGATCTTTGTCATCAATCTGTACCTCTTCCACATCTTCGACTGAAGCAGCTCTGGTTTCATCTTCTGGTCGGTTATCTACTATCTCAACACCCATAACTTGCCGATCATCAGGAATCCATTTGGGATCAACCTCGGGTATCTGAGTCTTGCCCTTCTGAGGTTGTGTTACTGAGGTGATATAGCAATGCCGGGCCACCTCCTGGTTGCCTCGCAGCGTTGCTATTCCCGTAGGAGTTGGGAATTTCATGCATAGATGAGATTGGGAAACCACAGCTCAGATTTCAGTCAGTGTGGGTCGACCAATGACGACATTGAATGAGGACACCATCTTGACTACTAAAAACCTGACTGAAGGGGTCACATAACTTCGGCCACTGCCAAATGCAACATTCATAGTGAGGACTCCTTCAACTGGAACTGGTTGGTTGTTAAACCCGTAAATGGGACCATCATACCGCTGCAACAGAGCGGGATCTAACCCAAGACTCTCAAAACAATGGAAGTACATGATGTCTGGTGCACTTCCTGTGTCAACAAGGACACGCTGCACTTCACAATTGTTGATCGTGATAGAAGTGACTAGAGGATCATTGTGAGGTGTGACAATTGTTTCAAGATCAGCAGATGTGAAAGTGATGGGTTGATTCTTCCACTCAGCATCGTCAAATTTTCGCTTCTGAGTTCGGTTCTGATGCTTAACCTCTCTGACATACAGCTTTCGCTGCTTAGAGCTTAGTCCACCAGCTTCCAGACCTCCCGTAATCATGTGTATGACTCTAGCTGGTGGTGGTAGTGGGGTTGGGGCTCGCTGATATCCCACACCTTGTCTGTTTGGGGGATTGCGGATTGCTTGATGCTGTGGCCCTTGTTCTCTGACAAACCTTGGCTGTTCCGCTCTCTGGATGTACTCATTCAACATTCCTTTCTGTGCCAGACTTTCCAATTCGGACCTCAGGCTATTACATTGCTCTGTTGTATGACCATGATCCTGATGAAAATCACAGTACCTAGTATGGTCTCTGGTAGCAGCAACAGCTCTCATTGGACCCGGACGTCTTAAGTCCATCTTATTCTTAATCTGCATAAAGATTTGTGACCTCGGTAAATTAAAAAGAGTCCAATTAACTGGAGGTTTACTTGCAGGTTGTTGCGGAGGTGCGGAGTTCGGCCTTCCGAGTCTCAAGGTGGAAGTCGACATCGGACCTCGGTTCTGTGGTGTCTTCATCCGTTTCCTGTTCGGATTCTCATCTCTCCAGTCCGGGTGTTGATTCTTAACAGGGGTGATGTTCTGCGACAGGGCATATTCCTCAGCAGTTATGAATTTCAATGATCTATCATTTACCTCACTGAAGGTGGTGGCAGGATGTTTAAGTAGACTATCTCTGAATCTTTCATGGCTGAGACCCGAGATCACAGCTGTAATTCCCACTGCTTGGTCGAAAGAGTTAACCTCTAGCAGTGCATCATTGAATCTGCTCATAAAATTCTTCAAAGACTCTCCGTCCCTCTGCTTAACTCGCATCAACTCGGAAGTGGTTTTCCTGATCAACCTTCTACTGGAAAACTTTGTGGCAAAAGCAGATGCCAGTTCTGTGTACGAGTTGATTGACCGCGGAGGCAGACTATAGTACCAGGTTCGAGCATTACCTCGGAGAGTAGAGGGAAAGATTTTGCACATCAACGCATCAGAGGCGTTCTGGGCCTGCATGCAAGAGTAGAAAGCATCTAGATGATCATCGGGGTCCTTCGTCCCATCATAAGTTTCAAGCTGGGGTATTCGGAAGCCAGTGGGATAGGGTTCCAGTATAATATTGGTGTTGAGAGGGTGAGGTACGGAGTCAGCAGCAGGGTGTGGAGGCGGGACACCTCGCTATTCGACCACTAGCTTTTCTAAGCTATCTAAATGTCGAGTGACATCATCATGAGGGGGTTGCATAACTGGTGCGATGTGAGATTGGCCCTGAGATTCACTAACAGCGGGAGCATGTTGAACTGGGTCAGGATTTTGTGGTGGGGTTGGAGGCTGTGGAGCAGGATTAAGTAGGTTGATGAGTGGATCACCAGGATTGTTCCGGGCTAATAACTGAGCCAGCACTAGCTGAAAAACACCAAATTGCTGTTGCATGGCAGCGAGCTGAGTTGCAACTGCGTCTTGGTTAGCAGTAGAGGCTGAGTTGCTAATCGAATTGTGTGGCTGATTTTCATCCCCTCCTTCGGTATGGTGAACATGAGGGGATGTATTCGGGATTGGGGGTGGGGGGTGAGGTGGAAGGTTGCTGGGGGCCTGACCTCGTCCAAGAGGCTGAGACGAGTTTCCACCTCGGGCTGACCTAGTTTTAACCATGATAAGAGCAACAAGGGAGCCTTTAGTTCAGTTTCCCACAGACGGCGCCAAAATGTAACTGCACCAAACCAGACGTTCTTCTTCACTCCGTATTTGCACTCCGGATTGACCTGCAAAGCCCCGAGATGGATCTCGGGGTAGACACTCCGATGCTTAAGTCAGTAATAATCGGAGCTACCAATAGAGCGAAGATTAGAAGAGCTTAGGGTTGGTTTCAATCACCTTTTTGACATGACCCTTGAGGGGTATTTATATGTTCCAATGAAGAACCCACGCAACATGCTAAGCAAGACATTCAGGATTTGGTGAGTATCTCCGGGCAGTTATTTCGGGATCAGGAAATTAAGCCTAGCAATATATTCGGGATTTGATATGTATCTTTAGGCAGTTATTTCGGGATCGGGAAATTAAGCCCAGCAAGGTATTCGGGATCTGTTGTGAGGATGTCCATCGTAACTGTTGTGCAGTCGTCCGAGCAGGGAGTTCTGGATGTAACTCTTCATTCCGGTTGTAAAGGAATTACTGTCGTACGTCCGAGGTCCGGCACCTCGGACCTGCCCTTACAATATTATAGGGAAAATTTCAATTTTTACGTCTTTACTAAAAGAGGATGTGACATTACAAATGAATGTGATTAATTGAAAAAGTTGTAACAATTCATTTTGTACATGACTTTTCATTTAATTTGAAAATTACTAACAAGTCTCTTAAAGAAAAACAACTTGTAAACCAAATGACAATACTTAGGGCTCTGGATTGATTTTGCATAGTGAGTTAGGAGTTATTGGCTTGGCAATATTGTAGAGGGTTAATTTGAACCTTAACTTTAATTCCAAATCAAAAAATTTAAATTAATTATTTGCAGGATTGATTATTAAGAGAAGGGCCGGTCAAAGCTGTAGGGAGACATCGAATGTGGGCCAAAATGCGTATACGTTTACTTCACCAAGTCTTTTTTTAATTTTTCGCCATCCATCAGCAAGTCCGGTTATTAGAAGAAAATGAGTAAATGAACGCGGTTTGACGCCGGCATGACTCGCACAACAGGCCAAAGTCTTCGCATTGTATGGTGGTGACCCTTCCTGATCTGCCACTCTTTTTAATATTCGTAAAATCAATTTCCTTTGTTTTCACTTTTTCTAAAAGCTATTTCTTCTTTTTGGCTCCTGAATCCTGACAAATTAATAGAAATGTAAATTCTATACTTTTTTTCTTAAGAAAACAAAACGGTTATGTTGAAATTTGAAAGGTTAAATAAAAGAGTAAATTGCATTTGCTTCATGTGGCGCGCCACAAGAGCACTTTGTTAATAAATATCGTTAACAAGTCAGTTTTTGAAATAAATAAATAATAAAATAATAATTATTTTATTTTAATGCTTGGTAAGAAATAAGATATTTTGATTATTAAAAATCAGAATTACTTAAAAAAAAAAACTTATATTATAAAATAAGAAGAAAAATGGCAAGATGACAAATGAAAAGGGAGGGAGTTTCTTATTTTATCAAGTATTCTTCCATATCTCAACATACAAATTTGTAGGCTTATATATTGGCTAAGAGACATTGGGGGTTACATTTGCCATTGAATGGGACTAAACGAGAGTATGAATGGCACCTTAATAGACTCTTGAATGACACCTTAATGGCCCCTTTGAATGGCCTATTGAATGGCCCTTTGAATGGCCTTTAGTGGGATCAAGAATGACCCTTTAATGGTGAGGAATGAACCCTTAATTGTGAGGAGTTGCAATATGAAAAGATGAATGTGAAGGTGAAGCATCCACTAATAAGAAAAATTCACAATACTCCCACTTGGATGCTCACCTTTTGTATTTTATACGCTTTTAAACTGCCTCATTAAAAACCTTGTCAGGAAAAACCCAATGGGATAAAAACCATAACGAAGGGAAAAAGAGTGCAATACGTATAAAACTCCCCCTCATTTCAACGGAGCTCTTTAAGACGTCGCATGCCTATCTTGTGTACAAGTTGTTCAAAAACTTTGGTAGGCAATGACTTGGTGAAGAGATTTGCAAGATTCTCATTTGAACTGATTTGCTGAACATCTATTTCACCAACATTTTCAAGGTCATGTGTAAAGAAAAACTTTGGAGAAATATGCTTGGTTCTATCTCCTTTGATGAATCCTCCCTTTATTTGTGCAATGCATGCAGTATTGTCCTCATACAATAAGGTCGGATGTCCTGTAATTGCTTTAAGACCACATGTTACTTGAATATGTTGGATCAAAGATCTTAACCATACACATTCCCGATTAGCCTCATATAGGGCAATTAATTCTGATTGATTTGAGGATGTGGCAACAATGGTCTGTTTGGTTGAACGCCAAGAAATTGCGGTACCACCATATGTGAATAAATATCCCTTTATGTGGATTAGACAAATATCCAGCGTCTACATATCCAACTAACGTTTTGAGTGCTTTGAGTAAAATAATCCCATATCTTTTGTTCCTTGAAGATAATGAAATAAATGCTTAATGCCATTCCAATGTCTTCGTGTTGGTGCAGAACTATATGTTGCTAACAAATTCACAGAAAATGCAATATCACGTTGCGTATTGTTAGCTAAATACATCAATGCACCTATGGCACTTAAATATGGTACCTCAGGACCAAGAATTTCTTCATTATCTTCATGAGGTGGAAAAGGATCTTTCTTTACATCAAGGGATCGAACAACCATTGGAGAGCTTAAAGGATGAGATTTGTCCATATTAAATCTCTTCAATATCTTTTCAACATAATTGAGTTGATGGACAAAAATTCCATTTGATAAGTGCTCGATCTGTAGACCGAGACAAAATTTTGTTATCTTGAGATCTATCATCTCGAATTCTTTCTTTAAACATTCAATTGCCTTTTCAAGCTCTCCAGATGTCGCAATGATATTTATATCATCAACATATACAACAATGATAGCAAAACCAGATTTTGACCTCTTGGTAAAGACACATGGACTAATGAGATTATTTTCATATCCTTCTTTTAGGAGATATTCACTTAGGCAATTGTACCACATTCGCCCTGATTGTTTCAAGCCATATAGAGACCGTTTTAATTTTATTGAAAGTATCTCTCTTGGCATTGAGTTGTATGTAGACCTGGCAATTTTTTACCCAACTCGTTAACCCGCCCATTACCCGCCCATTTAAAACGGGTTAGGGTCATATATTTATGACCCGTGACCCATTAATGGCCCGTTAAGAGAACCCAACGGGTCATGGGTCAATAACGGGTTGACCCGTTTGGGTTAACGGGTTTGACCCATTTACCCGTTAAAAAATATATAATTTTTTAATTTATTATTTATTTATTTTGTTTTCTAATTCCCAATCTCACCTAAATCTCTAATAATTGACTAATATTCCCTAATTAACTAATTGATTCTCTTGACTCATCATCTTCTAGAAGTAAAAATAATCCCACTCCACTCATAACTCACCTCTTGACCTTTCCTATTCTTGCTTGCCCTAATACTCTCGAAGACTCTAACTCTTCAAACTTCAAACTCTTCTCATATTCTTTAACCTCCATAGTTCATACCGCCTTTGACTTTCAAGCTTCAACTCCACCTTTTCTCTTTAGTCTTTAACATTATTTCAGACTTAAATCTTAGTCTTATCGAGTCACCGTTGTGTCCATTCAGCCTTTTCTTTTTTTCTCCTATGAGTCCGGCAAGTACTCTTTTTGTCACCAAATTCTCTCTAAATACTTCAAGGTAAGTTGTTTACTTATTTATGCTTTTTAGTTTTCTTTCCATTCCAAGTTAAAATTTTACTTGATTTTCTCCTTTACTTACTTAGATGCATTCAATTGATTATTCTTTGAAAGCAATGACCAAAACAAATATGTTCCAATGGGGTTTGT